ATAACAAGCATTTTTAAATATTATAATGTGTAATGAGCTAAGTATTTAATGGACTTCTCGGCCGAAGTATATACGGGGTGTTCCAACGGGAACCGCCGCGATCGATATCTGGCAACTTATAATTAGGAGACATTTGAAAATTAGACAGTCTGCCGAAGTCAATGGGGGCAAGTGATCTTAGATATTTTCAAGATGGCCACACTTCCGGTATAGCGGATGTAAGTATCAACTTGCTTATTTTAAATGGAACACCCTATATATTATTCAATTTTTGAGTTCTGATCCAAATCCTAAATATATTCCATGTAATAATATCCTATTCCTAAGTCTAACAGTTTGTGATATTTTTGAAATTTTATGTAACAAACGACAGCTGCAGCCACTCGAATAATTATTCATTTTTCCTATAAGGGAATTTGTCCTACTTAATTGAGTCGCATTTATTGCTGAAAAAAACTTACTTTAATGGAATTTCTGCAAAATGTTGATAACTATGGACACAAAATGTTAAAAAAATAAGTTCCAAAAACACGTTGATAAAACCGCCAAAACCAATTTTTTTCAAATAGAAAGCACCATTTTCAATTATTTTATCTTATTCAGTATTAGAAATAAGAGTAAGTTTGTGTAAAGTTGTCTATTTCAAAAGTGTTTAGTTTTCGAAATATCGTCAATTTAATGTTTTCATATGGATATTTTACCGCATCCTATTATAAATGCCAAAGGCATACGTACAGCTGTCAGTTACCCTTTGAAAATAATTAATAATCAATAAAAAAATAACAAACAAACGTTAACAAAATCAGCGTGGCTCAAACTCGCAATTGGAAGGCGAATCCAAATATTCTAAATGCTTAAAAAATTAGGAGTTTACATTTAAATTAAGAAAGTTAGGTTATACTTTTCGGACACCCTATACAACTAGAGGGCTAATTGCATTTTACATGGTTTTGGCACGACTCGTTATGACCGGAAACAAAATTTGAACATTCTGTAAGTCGGAAAACTTCTAATTCGCGGTCTACGTAAATCACCCTATATAATTGATATGTTATTTAATATCATTTTTTTAGCTCAATTTGAATTGTTTGATAAGCTCAAAGCGTTTTTTTAATTAAAAACAAGGTAAATCATTTCATATAAGTATATTATTTGACAAATTTATTACACTAATCAGTCCATGACAAAAGTCAAATACCTCGCGAAAGGCAATGATTAATGCATTCAAAGTTTTTTGATAGTTTTGCGTTTTAGTAGCGCAACTAATACGCACATCATTTTCTATTAAAAATTATATAACAATTAAATATTCAACATGTTTGATTTATAGGGCATAGAACTGATTAAATTGTACAATTATAGCAAAAATCACCTACACAAACTTCTAAATTACTTCAATAACAAACCAGTGCATAAGTGTTATAATCAGGACAATAAATCTAATGTACGTAATGTAATGATTTGAGAACTTGAGCAGCACATGAAGTTCACAAAATTTATTATTATGCAATTACCAAACTTATAATGGCACATTACAAAATTTGTGTGAACTTAATTAGATTTTCAATAATTGTAGTTGATAAATATATGCATTACTGAGAGTTGTCAAATTTACTACTAATAACATCAATTACGACGTATTGCCAATAAAACCGATTACAACACTAATATACTGATAATAAATTCCTACGGTTTGCTGACTGAAGTACAATAAACTCTATTAGTACAAGACGAACCTAACATGTATTATTTAGCCAAAATAGATTTATACTATATCAACTATACATACATAATCTATAAGTAATCATATATATTAACACATGTAATAACAAAACGATAAAGAGAACATAAAATTGCTTTTTTGGCAAATAGTATACAGATTGTGAATACCAGACAGCTGCAACTTCAGCATAGTTGCCGCAAAGCCAATTTTGCAGCCGCCTTCTTGGCCATCATTTTATTTGACCCGAATCCATAAACTTGTTGCCTTCTACCATTTAACATAAACTGTAACGGAACCATCACTTTTCCTTGGCCGGCATCAATAGAATCTCTAAACATTTTTTTCATTAGTTTTTAATTAGAGAAATGAAATATTTGAATCAGGCAAATAAAACCAAAACATACCCAAAAGTCGGATGGGGGTTAGGACTCCATTCATACAACCGTCTGATTAAGTTTTTGGGAACTTTTGCACTAAACGATTCGATCTCTTTCCACATAAGACGATGGAATACTCTCCATACTTCTTGAAGATCTTTTCCACTGTCTAGATATACTGCAGCTGCTAATGCTTCAAATATATCACCAAGCACCTAAATTTCCATTTTTTGTAGTAAAATAGCAATCAATTAATCTTAGAGTTTATCATTATCCATACTATGTGAATATAATAATAGTAATAGAATGCAAATTTTTCGGCTAATAATTGATTTATCTTAAAAATAAAAGTTTACAACTTGTGGTTCGTCTGAGAACATGAAACGAGAAAATATCAAATATAAATGCAGAATGTTTTATTCTCGAAAATCAAAAGTGTAAGATTTTGGAATTCGAGCTGTTTTATTCTCGAAAATTAGAAGCGTTAGATTTTGGAATTTGAGCTCCTCGTTGATTATCAAGCAAGCGTTGAAGAGTTCAAACTAAAAATGATCTTACCTTAGGCACATCTATATATTCGGCAATATTCAGACCTACTGCGTCAGTCTCTTCCAACAAGATCAACACTTCGTCGTCTATTTCAAACTTCTTTGATTCTATATATCCAGCAAAGCGATCGATCATGCCTTGGAGTTTCGCGTTAATCATGAGCAAATACTTGTGTAAATTATTTCGCACTACCAAACTGGCAAATGTGTTATTGTTTACCAACGCCGATCTTAAATCGGTTAAATCTCCTGGATCCAAATTTCCACAGGCTTCAAATATGTGACAAGTGACCAGAAAGTCGAGAATAGCGTCCCCCACGAATTCCAATTTTTCATACGACTGAGTTATTCGATTGGGTGTATATGAAGCATGAGTTAGAGCTTGTAACAGAAATGCTCTATTTTTAAAATGGTATCCCAAAATGTCACGTTCAATCTTATCCCAGTCGGGAATATGATAGTTTATGTCAGCTAAAGTTGCTTTATCATTTATAACTGGATTTTGAGGTGGCTGATCAAGCAATTCAATCAAGTTTTCAGATTTAGGGATGATGCCTATCCATTCAACAAATCGAAGTCCACCTAGAAATAATGTTATGAGTAAAATGAGTAAATAGTTAGCAATAAACTATCAGAATCTAAAGTAAATATTAAAAAAAGAAGGTTTATTACCTTCGATTCCACAAGTTTGGAAATAGGCACCCAATAAAGCTTCAACACAATCGGCAACTGTTTTATCTCCTACATAATTGCACTTGAAAAGTGATGCAACTTCTTGAATAAGACCTTCTTCACTGGGATCTTCTTCGAACTGCACGCTCTGTATAGTCTGAACAGTTTCTTCTGATAAAATTCCACTAATCTGTTCTTCTTGGGGCACCGAAATAAAGTAAAGAGACGCAAGGGACGTCTCCTTTTTGTCAATTCTAGACTCAACTAGATCTGGAATTTTAAATCCTGGTGCCAGCCAGTCAGATATTTGTAAATCACCAACTTTCATCAATCCTCCAAGGTTTTTCTTACAAGCCAAGTAATACAAGTTCTTATTACTTACTAATCGGCCTTTTAAACTTGTTGCCAGTCCTTCAGAAAACCGTGGAAATTTCGCATATACATAAAGCTAAAAAAATATAACTTTAATTGATCATTGGGAAAAAACTGTGTTTTATGGTTTTGCAGTATGAAGAAACTATGGAATACTAACATTCCTTTTTTTGAATCTATTATTAAAATTTTATTTTAATAAGACAAAAGACCATACTGACTGCAATATTAAAATATTGCTGCATTATACCCTTAATTTATGCAAAAGCGGCATAAAAAAAAACAATAAATAAAAGATCCTTACTTAGAAGACAAAAGTCAAACAAATGGAAATTAAAGACATACATAAGCAAAAGTGTCAGTGAAAATAGAATCTTACCGAACAGAATAATTTTAAAAATGAATCGCCAAGAGTTTCTAGTCGTTCCATGTTGACTATATCGTTTGCCTTGGCAGTTGTCATTGCTTTGTAAATTAGGCAAAGCGGAGGACCACTGTCTAAAATTTTCGCATCTAAAAGTTGGATTGGCTTCTCCTCATAATCTTTAAAATATGTGAGAGCAAGTTGGTCTTTTTGCTGTTTTGGGAAGTCGTTCTTTAGTGTATATTCTTCAGTGGTGACACTCTTAGATAGAAATTTCTCATAATAATCGATATCCAAAATGGTTACGTCGATGTCCCTTTCAACATCTTTCGGTTCTTCTGTTTCATTCCATGGGTACTCCAATTCAAGCATTTTCTTTGCATAATCACGATTTATGACGGATAAACTCTGGAATGTTACTTGGTTTTTAGATTCAGGTACTAAAACATTCACGACACTGTTCGATGATTGTTCTATATATGGGACGTAGTTTAAGAGATATTCATCTAACTCCAAAGATTTATTTGACGTTGATGAATTCTCTGGAATATTCATTTCATGTGCCATCTTTAATCTGAATTCTTCTAACCGAAAGAGGAAGGAGAATCTATTAAAAAAAATGTTTATTTCCACCATTCCCTATCTGTAATCACAAACAATAAAATATAAAATCCAAGAAAGTTCTTTTCATCATCATTTTTCAGCGATTTTTTATCTGTTGAAAAAATAACCCTTACAAAACAATATTTCAACTGAATCCAATCTCAATGCAGTTTTTTTTTGCACACAAATCCATAAAAATACAATTTTAATATCGCTCTCAAATCAATAACAAACTCAACATTTTTTACATATTTATTATTTGTGAATAAAAAGCATATACTATACTATACTACATATACATATTCACTACCTTGATAGAAGGGTTGGCAACAAGTTAGCATGGATCCAAAGGGCTGCAGGAAATTCTTGTTTAACTACCAATTCTGGGATCAAATGAATTTCTAGATCTTCATAATTCTTCTCTTTCTTTCTTTTGGCTTGCGCCCCTTGCGGCTTAATAAAGTTTGTTTTTTTAGTTAAATGTTTCACATATAAAAGCGGCTGTTCAGGATTTAAAAGCCGCACATCGTGTTTTTCTCTGTAGTAATCTTCATATGTACCAAATTGCTCATTTGGAAATATAGTTTTTGCTGATTTATTTAATGATACTTCGGTCACTATATAATCCTAAAAAAAGTGTAAAGCCGTAGATTATTAATTGTTTGCATTAGAACCTTAGAGCACATACATTTAATTTGCTTTGAAATGAGCCAAGTTTATCTTCACACAATATTTTTGGTCTCTTTGGACTAGCACCTTCTTTATGAGAACGAAAATTACTCTTTGCGGTCTTAGTAAAACAGACCTCTAAAACTAAAAAAAACTCGCCCTTCTACAAAATGCAAAAAAAAATCAATACCAATGATACTTAATATGGCATTTAATAGAAATATGTATTTTTCATTCTCTGTTTTCGGACTTGCAACATGATGATAATTTGTATGCTGAAAATTATATTTGGAACGGAAAAACATGAACTGGACTCATTCAAAGTGCGAAAATATCGTAGAATTAGGATTTCGGCCATTTAAGGCTGAAGCGGAAATATTTCTAGCACTCTATAATGTTAAAAACCATTATTTCAAATCTGTACTTAAAAAGTACGGAAATATTGGCACTTGGCAACACCCACTTTTAAAATGTTGAATATTATAATAGCAGCTTAGAGATTTGTGATAGTTCGTTAAAAACATCTACATCTCCTATTTATACTTACCCCCATATCTCTGTACCAAGGAGAAACAATTTTTCTCAAATAGTCCTCCTGTGTTACTTTCAGTTGTAATCTATCTTCGACTGTTAACTGGCATGTTGGATTTATGGCTTTGTGCTCGTTCAATATATCAAAATCAATTTTGCCGGACCTTTTATTAACTGGTACCATCATCATGGTTTCTGCATCATCTCCATTGTCTGATATTAGAAATTCTCTATGTTTTAGCGATCGCACAATGTCGTTGTATACTAGATAATTATATTCTCTAATAATGGCAATGTCTGCTTCGCTTAACTGAGGTGTGGCAACATTTACTTTAAGATTCACATTGATTGTGCCTAAAGTTACGTAGATAGGAAAATCGCATATAGTGGGAACTTGGTTTGGTGTTAAAAACCCATAGCAGATATCGGACACATACATGTCATAAAACGTGGAATAATTCAATTCTTCGCGTTTTCCGAATATGGGCTGCAAGTTGATAATGTGCAACCAAGCAGGCTTTTGAGGAACGACAGGTCCTTTAAGAAATGCTGCTACCTGAAACAAACCTATTCCTTCAAACAATTTTCTAACTAAATTTATTTAAACTAATCCTACCTGTTTCTTGTGTGTTCTTTTATTTTTGTTCGTGCCAGCCATAGTCTCTTTGACCTCTGGATAATGCTTAAATAAGAAGCCGACATCTTCATTGGCAATATCATATTTTTTGGGCAGTAAATGATCATCAAGTTCGCCAATTTTATGTAACTGTTCACATGCTAACAACGCAGCTGCTCGCTTTGCAGACTTTAAATTTTTCATATAACGGCCCTAGAAAATAATTTTTAGAATTTGGCAAGCTATGTAATAGTAATTAACGGCGCTGTTCTAGTTAATTAAAATTGTAAAATTGCGACTTTAGGAAAACAGTTTTTGTTACCTACTTGCAATGCTCGACAAATATATTATTATATTATGTGAAATCTTACGACAATTGGGGCAGTCAAAGGACAAATCGTTGGCAATATGATTGTGACTCTTGTGAGATCATCGAGAATAGTAGTTTTTTCTTCGTAATACAATTCGGGAGATAAAGTCGTGAACTTATCACATGGCAGACTGTTGCAATATTGACTCAACAATGAAATGGCCGACACCATATCTACTTTTGCTGATCGCGGACCATTTACGTAATATGGGGGAAGCTCGTCTTCATTATACATGTTCGAAATCCTCAATGCGGATGGCTTTTGCCTCCATTTATTCATGCCGACCAGCAACTAAAATATTGGAATTATTAATAATCAGTTATACTTTCGTGTCTGCTGAAATTCCGTCACTTACATCTTGCAACCGTTTTTCTACTTCCTGAAACTCCATGTATTTTTCTTTGAATTTAAGCATATCAGCACTGTCGACCATCATATAATAGAGACTTGATGGATGTCTTGCACGGCCTTTGGACTGTATGTATGAACGGTATTCTTCAGGGGCGTCGAATTTAATTACCAAAGAGCATGTCGAGATGTCAACACCCTCTTCTAAGACGTTTGAGGAACATAAAACAGTAGTTTCTTTGTTGTCAAATGAATGCAGAACTTCTCTATTTTTTTTCGACGTATAAAGTGATTCTCTTGTATCATTGTATGGATTAGAATTATACCCGACAATAAAATTTGGCCTGATATATGAATATTCTTTTGTATTTTTCGACAAACTGCTTAAAATATAAAAAATCACTTTAGCAGTAAATCGCCGCTTTGTAAATATCAAGCAACATAGTTCTTCATTGGACGTCTTCCTGTATTCATCAAAAATGTTTATCAACTGCTTTACCTGCAAATCAAATCAGTTTAGTTGCATAGGTGGTTGTCACAATTTGACAATATGTTTATTTACTTTGTCCGAAGAAAATTGCAATATTCTTTCAGTCTCAGTGAAATTTTCCATGTATTTTTCTAAACTACTCATTACTATAGATAACATGGTTTGTACGTATGATAGCACTTGATGAATAACCATGTCGTCGCAATGTTTTTTCATTCTCTCAATTTGTATCATGTGTGCGAGCATTGCCTTATGACCGCCATAAATTCCCAGCGACTTAATGTGGAACTCTATATCAATTATGATGTTGTTTAATTTTTTTAAACCATCATCTTTTGTTAAAGGACGCAGACCAGTTTTGTTAATCACCAACGGTAAATGAGGATCCTTTACTTGCAGCAAAATTGTGATAATTTCATCTAAACGGTGCATTGCTTGCACCTCAATATTGCTTAGTATATGAGCGGAATAAGGTTGAATATGTTCTTTCGGATTTGTGGAATATCTGTGAAAAATTCACTATTAAACATCTGACCATCATAACACTAGAGTGGTGCTTTACCCTGTGACTTTGGTTAATCCGTCGACAGTTGCGACCTGACTGTGGTATGTGGTCTCCAGTTTTTCAACTTCAGCTAAAACTCTGTCCGGCTTACAGTTACCATTAAGAAGGGTAGCCGTAAGTCCCAGTATTCGCGGCTGTTCTTTCACATGCTTCAAGGACTTGCATAGTTGTCGCATTGGTTGATCACTTACCCCTCTGTGACATTCGTCAAAGACAATCAGATTTACTTTGTTTAAATCTGAAAAACCGCCGCTTGTTTTATTAACTATTAACCGATTTAGACAACGCTATTTTCTTCTCGCTCAGAATAATCGTTTGCAATACAGTATAACCTCTGTAATCCGAACGAATTATTACGAGCGCAAATTCGGATTTAAAAAAATGTTACTAAAGTGGAATTAAAATTTCTTTATTTTTAGCGCAATTTTTATTAGCTAAATTGAAAATTTATTTGGTAAAATATATGTATATATTAAAAGAAGAACTGTGTACATAAAATGGCTTAATTTTTACACATACATAATACATCTGTGCCAATCTATTGTCGATGGAAAAAAAATTATGATTTGAGTTGGTCTCTTCGCTCTGCCTTAAAGTCCGCTTTCCTGTTTAAGTTAAAATATGGTGTTCAGACAGTTCCGACTCAGAATCGTTAAGCTCATTTTTCTCGCCAGTTCCTCTCCCGTTTCGTCAGATCTAAGGAGGTTGATCTTGTGTTCGTGAACGTGTTCCCAACTATCCATCGCTTATTGATTCCCATGACTCCTTTTGACCCGCTGTCCAATTAATAATTTCCTAATGTGCAAAATACCCGCCAATTTGGTTTAACAATCCAATAATATCCGTTACTTTTTTCTCGATAAATTATACTGTTTCTCTTTGCTTCCCTGTAGATAATGGAAGAAGATCTTCCTCATCCCAACCATCAACTTGCTTGAGGAGTTGCTCAATGAGTTTAGGTACTCTATTATTACTTTGTATATAAGTTCGGGTCGCACATTTTCCCCAGCCTTAGCCAGTTCAATCATAACATCTTTTAGATTATTATTTTTTAATTCTGCATACATCCCTAATTCTAACTTAATTAATGACGTTACATTAGGTGGCAAAAACATTGTAAGAATTTGACTGCCATCTGAAAAAGTCTTCTGAGTGCCCTGTCGCATTGTCTAAAATCAGAAGAGCCCTTGTATGTAAATTAGGCTCTCGTATTTTTTTTTCAAATTGCAATAACAAAATCAAAAATCAAACAAATATTTTTGGTGACTGATGGTTTCTTTTGTCTTTGGTAAGTCATCGGGAACTATATTTCATTCCGAAAGAACGAGGCTTTCCAGACCTCCCTAACACTAACAATTTCATTTCATGAGTTCCAAAGGCGATTGAACAAGGTGTAAATGTAATTTTCTCCTTGGGGCTAATGCCTCAGAATGATCAGCAAGTGTCTTGAGAGAGTAATTTCCAAAAAAGAAAACTGTTGCCTATATTATCGATTTGGTGCAACAACTGCATTTCCCGGACTTTGTTTCGAAGCAGTTCCTTGAATGGTTTTACGGCTCCCTCGTCACTGGATAATTTATCGCCTGTGACGGATAGTTGTCGAATACATTATCGGTTTTTTTTTAAATTGACCAAGCCAATTAAAAAAATTGCTTTTTCTCCTTAAAATTTCTCCAAGCATTGGAGGACAAACATTTTGGAAGTGAGGGATCTGTCTCGATCCGCACTGTTCCGATAACTACTATCAGACAGACTATAGCGGCAGATTCCGAACGTTCGGATTAAAGGGGTTTTACTGTATTGTACTAGTAAGTTTCAACTTAGACTCAACTATAAAATTGCCTTCTAATTAAAAGTATCAGTATTGTATGACTTTTTATTGGTGAAATGCTCAATTTTTTCTAGCTTATGACTTACCTAAGAAATTCTGATTGGTCAGGTTTACTAATATCTGCACGGTCATAACGAATACTTGGCTTTTGTCAAACTCTTCATACCATTTGGCTTTTGGCCAAAAATCAAGAGACATGTCGCCCGAGTATTTGCCCACCTCCAAATTTGTTCTTTTTTCTATGCATTTCGCATGCTGATCGACTAATGCGACGGTATTAACAACCACAAATGAAATTTTTCCACCTTCTGTGTATTTACTACAAAATTAGAAAATACAAAATATTTGCATATACTTCAATACAACCCATTATAGAAATAATATATTTTTTATTTATTAATGAAAACACTTCAAATGGTATTGCTTTTGCTTCACAATTTTTTGTACTATACCTACCTACTTAATACTTATGACTCGACCTAATATTTACTCTGACGTTAAACAAATTGAAGTAAAAAAAAAAACATATTTTCAGAACTTAGTCTTGCTATTTTGTACCATAATTACGCTAGATTCAGTATACAGGATGTTATTTAACTACGGAGCCGAACGTCAAAAAATTATTTTAAAAGGAAAGTTTACATCAGAATGGGCCCGGAATTAATTCCTTTCACAGGAACTTTTTTTCTTGCGTAGTGTTAAAAAATGGAGTTCTCAAATACGAAGCACGATACGAAACAAACTCAAGGGGCAAATAAGTTGCATTGAAAGCTGGTTAATGACCAGTGTTGGGAAAAATTGATTTTTATTAAAAAAATAAAAAATCACTGATTTATTTAAATTAATCAAAAAAATCATAATTTTTTGGTTTTTATTAAACCAATTGATAAATCCGCTTAATTAGCTGTTTTAAAGTCATTGCCATTGTTGTCGAGAAGATTCAAGCGAAGTGGAACCGATTCAATACTTGTCCGAACGCATGTTCGACGGAAAATTCTTGTCGCAACGGTCCGCGACTCGTTTTCACACGTTGCTCGGCGTAATCTAAAAATGCCGTCGCCTTTCTTCGGTATTATTAATTTCGTCACAAAATTTGAAGAGAGGCTAATGTTGAAAAGTGTGTACATTTTTTGTTTTTGTTTAATAATAATAAGTCAGTTTGAAAAGAACGCAATGGCTGGAAGAAAAGAAGACAGTATTTAGCAGTTTTACATCAAAACCACCTCTTCTAATAAGTCAGGATGCAGAGCAACTTGCAAACAGTGTTAGAAAGAGGTTCAAGGCATAGTACAAAGACTGAAGGCACACCATGACGTTTGTAAGAGGCAACAAAAGAAACAAGGTACCACAACAAATGCAAACATCGATCTTCCGCACAACTTTTTTGAGACGGGGAGTGCTTCTTCCTCCTTTACATTTCCCTCGACAAGCTCCAACTCGCCTCCTGAATCTCCATCATCTTATACGCAAACAACTACCAAGTCAGCTTCCAAGAGAAAGAAACGTGAAAGTTAACCCTCAATGTCCAATTTCGTTAGGCGAACTTCAGCAGGGGAAAAACATCTTATTGACAAACAAATAGCTAGGGCCATATTTGCCACAAACTCAAGTTTTAGATGTATCGAGAACTCGGAAGTCAAGAAAGCCGGTTATATTCATCTATTGAGACCTGGATACAGTCCTCCTTCTCGAAAAACGGTCGCATTGAGCCTTTTGGATGAGATTTATACTGAAGGAAAAGAGGCATGTTTTTCATCTCTTTCGGGGAAAAGTGTTAACATGTCGATTGACGGATGGTCAAACATTCACAACGAGCCGGTTATATGCGCAACATTAACAACGGAAGATGGACGAGCGCTTCTCTATGAAACCATTGATACTTCTGGAATGCCTCATACTTCGACATACCTTACTGATCTGGTGTGCGATTTAATTTCCGCGTGTCAAACAAAATTTCAGTGTCAAGTGCGATCGTTTGTAACGCACAATGCCGCTAATATGACCGCAATGAGGAAAACGTTAGAAGAACGGACGAACTCTGAAGTTGTAACTTATGGTTGTTCTTCGCATTTCTCATCTTTATAAGGACTCACAGGTGCAAGATGTCAAAGAACACATAGGCCAAATTGTCAAATATTTCCTCATCAATCACATAGCCAAAGTCAAATTCAGTGCAGCTGGACTAGGGACAACGGACTAGTACCTACTACCTAGCGATGTTCGCTGAAACAGCGTGGCCGACTGTTTGGAAGCGTACGTCACACAATGGGACATCATTCTCAAGATTTGCGAGGATAACTCAAAATATATCGATTCTGCTATCTTCAAAAAAGTCTCAAACATAGGACTGAAGCATGCAGCACAAG